GGATGTTGCCTCTAGCGGCCACCGACGGAGAAGCGCTGCGTGAGGCAACGCAATGGTGAAGCGCGGCGTGAGGCAACGCTTAGGCCTGGGGGAACCTGGCGGCGAGAAGCGGGCGAGGTCCGTGTCCGAAACTGATCTCCACACCAACGACCCCGTCACGGTTCGGGGATGGGGGCATGTTTAGCCGATGCGCCACATTCTCGCCCTTGTTTCTCCCAAGGTCGCACTCTGAGGAGTGGTTGAGCACCTTGTTCAATCGCGGCAAGCTGTCAGCGCCGCAAGTGTTCGAGGGCATCCACGCTGCCCAACGTGATAGGCCTGGTGCGAGATCTGCGTTGGCACCTGTGTCGGCAGCAAATGGCAAACTATCTCGGAACGCTCACAGGACTTAGGGGTCTGGCTAGCATGGCCAACCACGCACCCACCCAGCACTCACACGCCGATGTTCCAGGTCCCATTTTTCAAAGCCCAACGCGCGTTGGTTTTGGAAACGTCCTTGAGCGCCCGCGTCGTTCGCCATTGCTGCTGACCCCAGCGATCTATGCCGACGATTGGGTAATTGCGCAAAGTTGCCAGAGGTTTATCAGGTCGACTGCGTCTTCTGGGATCCCACCCTGGGGGAACAAGTTAAAGACAAGCTCAACTTCATCTTACCACATGAGCTTCTTAGCGCAATTACACCTGCAGGTAGTGAAGCTACTATGTGCACCTTCGAGTCAAGCCAGATCGGAGCTCAGAGCACCCTTGCATCCGTCCAGCGCGAACTGGGCATTGACGGTACTCGGGGCAATTGGGCTGGCATCGGCGTTTGGGGCGATAGCGCCCCGTACGCTACGCGCGACAGTCTCTACCTCTGCTTGTGGAACGTTGTGTCAGGTCCAGAGCACCGTCGTTGGTGGTTCACTGCCTTCCCAAAGAAGATCGTGTGTGGTTGCGGGTGCCAGGGGCGGTGTACATTCAAGGTCAGCGTATCTTTCTTGTGTCACCCTCTCTGTATCTGATCTCACCCACTCCTCTCAAACACTTCCATATCTTATCGGTTGCTCCTCCTCCTCCTGCTCTCCCTCCTCCTGCTCCTCCTCCTTCTGCTCCGCCTCCGCCTCCTCCTCCTCCTCCACCTCCCCCTCCCGCCGCCCCCCCCCCCGACCCCTCACTCCGTCATCCCCTCCTAATCCATGCCCCACCTGCTAGTCTTCTCTTGTTCGCGTCCATCTCCTCATCGCCCCTCCTCCTGTCCCATCCCTTGTCATGTTTCTCCTGCTTTCCGCTCTCCTCCGCTCGGTCGCGTGGGAAGTACTCCGCTGGAGTGTTTCAACGCGGATTTGCGGTCGTCACCCTGACCGTCGCCACGATGGAGTGCTTTTTAGTGACTCCAATCGCGTTGGCGACAAAGCTCGCGCCCGTAGAGCTGGGGGAGCCTTATCGATCCAGGCGCTGCTGATACAAGCTCGGGGGGACTGGCAATGGCTCAGACAAGGGCTCGGTATGACAGGCTGGGACACCAGATCGAAGGCTCCCCAGAGGATGTGTTTCAAGTGCAAGTGCACACAGCATGAGATGCGAGATATATCACCAACTGCGCCGTGGCGCAGAACTCTGGTTACCCATGGTGACTTCTTAAACGACGTTTTAGAGCACCAGAAATACCTGTGCGGTCTGTTCTCGGTGCCAGGCTTCCGGCTCGAGATGGTGGTGGCCGACTTGATGCACTGCGCGTGCCTCGGCATCTTACAATATTTGTTAGGGAACGTAGTGTGGGAGATGTTCAAAGAATTGCAAGGCGCGTTCAATGCCCCAGCTAAGGCGTGCGGTAAGTTGACGGGCCTAGTCAAAATGATGTCACACCACCTTGGGGTAGAATGCCCGTTCAACAACATCACGGTGACGATGATACGTGCAACGGCGACTGCGAAGCCCAAGCTGAAGTTGAAGGCTTGGGGTTCCGTCTTTACCATCTCCCCTGCCATTCCTCCCCCGCCTCCTCGTTAGTATCCTCCTCCTCCTCCTCTTTATTCTCCTCCTCCTCACCGTGCCTCCCCCTCCTCCTCCTCCTCCTCCTCCTCCTCCTCCTCCTTCTCCTCATCCTACCACCTCTCAGGCAGCCGAGGGTAGACGTATGCTGATTGTCGTGAGGGGGCTGCTTGAGAATTGTTTCCTCAAGGATTCGGAACACGCTAAGCTTAGGTTCGACTGCGTTGACGCCCTGCATCGTATGTATGAGGTCGCTTCAGTTTCTGACTGGGACCCCGCCACGTCCCCACCCCTGCTCGCAAAATATGCGCGCCAGCACGTGGCTGCGTACGTGGAGCTCGGGTCTCGAGCGCTGAACATCAATGAGGAATCACCATTCTGGTGGTTCTACCCAAAGCACCACTTGTTCCTCCATTGTTGTGAAGACCAGGTTGCGTTGTTCGACAGTCCTCGCTCGTACTGGGCGTACTCGGATGAAAGCGAGATCGGCAATGCCGTAGAGCTTGCCAAGGGTTGCTATCCACGCACGCTGGCCACCCTTCTTTTGCAGCGCTACCGACTGCGACAGTTGTAATAGCATGGCGGTGCGGGGCACCTCTCAGGTGCGGCCATGCGTTTCTGTGCGACCTGTTGCTAGCCACCAGCACGCGGGGAGGATGCTGGAAATAACGGTGTTTCTCTTGCAGCCGTGTTCCATCCCTACGTGTCTGACCATCCAGCTCCTTCTTCAACTCCACCTCCAACTCCTCCCCCATTCTCCCCCTCCTCCTCCTCATCGTTCTCCACCTCGTTCTCTTCCTCGGTCTCCTGCTGCTGCTCCTCCTTCTACGCTTCACCATCGTCGTTCGCTCCCACGGCAGCCGACAGTCGAAGTCTCCGTGTTCGTGATGCACCATACTGGTGGAGTGCACTGATCTCGCATTGACTGGCAATGTGACCAGAATTCTGGTCACATTGTCAACCAATTCGAGACAAGCCCCTAGACCCCCAAGGCCGCGTCGATCAGAGAGGGCTTAAGGTTTCCCAAGGTTGTCCCAAATTGGAACCCAAACTACTCCAACGACCGCCCCGATACTGGATACCAAGCGCCCCAGGTGGGTTTGGGGGAGGGGGGCAAAGCTCACCCAGAGATCACAACGAGGCCACGAGAAGAAACTAGAGAGGAGAGGGGAGGGGTCGGGAGGGAAGGAGCGGGAGGGGGAGGGAGGGGAGGGGAGGAGAGGAGAGGGAGGGGAGACGATGGAGGGGAGGCAGGGGGGGACGAGTGAGGGGAGGGAAAATCCTATGGGGGTGTCGGCCCCTCCCCCGCCCCATCCACCCCCGATAGCCCCACCGTCCCGCATTGGGCCCAAGATGGATTCGGAAAAACGACGCCGTGTACTGCCCCCCACCTTCACCACCGTGCATGGCGATGTCGACCCCGACACGTTGAATGATGAAAGCCGTGGTGCCCGTGACGATGCGACCGAGGAGAACAAGGAGGATGACAACGATGACGAAGATAAACAACTCCGAGGCGACGCGGAGGACGCTTTGGAGCAACGCGGGCAGGACGAAGATGATGCCGAGGTCCTGACGGAAGACATATGCCTTCCGTCAGGACCTTACGAGGAGAGCGAGGAGAGCGACGGTGACCGTCATGAGACAGACATCGAAATCGACAACGATTCCGACGCCGAGGAAACACGGAAGCGACTCCGACGCCAAGGAAACACGGAGGACGCAGAGGAAACATGGAGGAAACAAGCTATATCCTCGCTCCAGGATCGGACGGGGAGATCGTGATTCCCCACTTGGGTTCGGGGGGAGGGAGCCCTGAGTGGGCCAGCCGACGCTGTGAACTGTCGAGCCCGTCGGGGGGAGGGGGCTATTTGTATCGATCCCCCCGCCTTCTGAGGAGAAACGTTGGCGAGAAAGGAAGGCCCGAGAGGAGGCAAGAGCGTCGTGGATAAGGTTGTTCCTGCGCCGTGCCATGCTTCATCCTACCCTCAAGGTTTCTCCTACGCTTTGCCATGCTTCATCCTATCCTCATGGCTTTTGCCGCGCCGCCCCCCCCATGCCGAAGCGTTTAATTGTAAGGAACCGCGGGCAACCGTTGGCTGCACTAAAGTACAATGTTTCGTAAACGTATGTTATGGACAGGGAAAACCATGAACTCGTATCTGGAACAAAAATCAAATGATTCCTCCTCCTCCTCCTCAGTCCCCTTTTGCTTCTCATCAGTATCCTCCTTATTTCTCTCCTCCCTCATGCAGTCCCTTTCTCTCTCTCTCTCTCTCTCTCTCGCTGTTATTCTCTGTCTTCTGTCCGCCTCCCCCCTTCCGCCTTCTCCACGCCCTATCCCTCCGAACTCAGACGCGTTGCACATGTGTGTACGTGTGCACATGTATACACATATGATCGTGATTTTATGTACGTACATATATATATATATATATATGAATATACATGTGGCATTGTATGCGTACATGTATGAAATACACATGCGATCTGTTTACACACATATATATACAATGTAAATCAACGTATACATGTATTTACAACATGTAAATATATGTACAACTATGCATAATATATATATGTATATATATATACATATATATATATACATATATGCATATATACATATGTATATACATACATATATATATACATATATATATATATATATATATGCAAATACCCAGCCAAAATGACAGAAACCAGAATGACAGACTTTACAATGACAGAAACATAAATGACAGAAATGTCATAAAATACGCCTTTCGGCATAAAATACGCCCGCAGGCGTAAAATAAGCTCGCGATCGAAAAAAAAACGACGAAGGAATAAAATACGACAATCGCATGCGCATCGGCGTAAAATAAGATTTTACGCTCGAGAGCGGGCGTAAGACTTATTTTTACGCCGAAAGGAAGCTCAGGGCCCTCCTCCTCGCTCCCCCTCCTCCTCCTCCTCCTCCTCCTCCTCCTCCTCCTCCTCCTCCTCCTCCTCCTCCTCGTCGCTTCCCCCCCTCGCTCGCCGCTGGCTCCTGCCCTGCGCGGGCCGACTCGCGCGCGCGCTCCCGAGCGCCCCCGACGCTCAGCCTCTGCAGCAGCGCCGCCTCCTCGTCGTCGGCGGCGGGCGCGCGCGGGCAGTCTCCCGCTGCGGCGTCGCAGGCGGCTCCGGCGCCGAGGGGCCGCCACGCGGCCGCGGCGACGATCAGCGCGGCCGCCGTGCTCCCCGCCATCCCCGCGGCGCGGCGGGTGCCCGGTGGGCTGCACGGGTGCTCGAGGCCGCGGGGGCCGTGGGCGCTCGAGGGCTCGATAGCTTTAGCTGCCGCACGTCCGGAGGCATGCGGTGCTCTGCTGCGGGGGCGCCGCGCTCCTGGCTCGGCAGAGCCCTCGGGGCGTGTGGGGTCCTCCACGTCACCTCTGCCGGGCCCCATCGTCTCAGCTCGGGGAAGGGGTGGCCCCTCTGCCTGCCCGTCGTTGCGGCACTTCCCTGGAGGCCTCGCCGCGCGAGGATGGGGCGTGAACACCTCTCGGACCGGGTCTCTTCGCGGCTGGAGGCCAGTTGGAAGCCTCTGGTGGTCTCTGATGGCATGATTGGCACCTCCCAAAGGGCCCCCTGAGGACTTTTTGGGGGGCCCCTTTCAATCCGCACGTTTTCTGGAGATCGCTGGATGAGTGCCATTCGCGCTGACTTCTCACTATGCGCAGGCGTGCGCGATGCACGGTTCAGAGCAATCACCCAATGCTGCGGCCACGTGGTTTTAGGCCGCGCGTCTGGGCTGAGTTGGTATAAGAAGTTCTGAAGGGGCCCTGGGACACAAAAATCAATACACACAAATAACAGGATTCCCCATATGTTCCCATATTTTCTTGGTTTTATGTCTTCCCCCCCATTTCTCATATTTCCCCATCTTTTTCTAGGGAATCGACGATTACTTGTGTCTGTGTGTTTTTTCTCCCCCTGAAACCTCTTGACTCCCCTTCGGGGAGAAAAGTTTCGCTCTCCCCCTCCCGCTCTGGGTCTGGAGGGGGGGGGCTGCGCCGCGCAGGAGCGTCCAAGGTTGCCTGAGATGGCTCCGAGATGGCCTCCGGCAGCCTCTGAGATCGCGCAACATAGCTCCTGATGACTTCAGATAGCCTCCCGCATGCGTCCAAAAGGCCCACAAACTGCCCCAAGATGATTCCAGGTGGCCACGAAGCCTCCCAAGGGCCCCCTCGAGAGGCCAACATCCTTCCAAACCCTTTGGAATATGTTCTTGTCTTCTCACAGCTTCGCTTCCGATGGGCGATTGAGGTCTCGAAATGTATCCAGCATGGCCCAAGAGAGTCCCAACACGTGCCCAAGACGGCACCAAGAGCGTCCAAGAGCGCCCTAAGAGGGCCCCAAGAGGCCATTATTTGGCTGGTCTCCGACGAGCGGCGGGGAACTTAGACACCCCGCATCTGTGATCGATGGCATCCGAGATTGCCCCAAGAGCGCCCCCAAAACGCCACAACAGCGCCCCGAGAGGGCCCCGCGAGCGCCACAAAGGCCTCCAGCATGACCCCAAGGGGTCCCGAGCAAGCTGCTGACAACCTCTCCCGTGCCGAAACATCTGCAAAGGCACTCCTGATTGACTCCCGAGCCTGCGGATCCCCTTCTCGGGAGCGGCCAAGAGGGGGGCCGTCCAAGAGGGGGGATGCAAATCATGGCCGGCGGCATGTGCGCGGCCCCAGGGGGGGGGCCAGGGACGAAATGAAATAAGAGGAGGCGCCACGAAATCTGGGCAAATATCATGGCCCACGCCATGATATCCACCCCCCCTAGTCGTCACCCCCCTCTTTGCCGCCCCCGACCTTCTCTGTTCGGCTGCGTGCTCTCACACTTTCCTGATCACTCGCGTGCGGCGCCGCCCCTGGCGCAGCGCCGACCCACGGCATCGGGCGCAGACCTCCGACAAAAACTTTTCCCAGCGCGCCGAGAGCGGGGCTGTATAGCGCACGGGGCTGGATCGAAAGTTGGGCGCCAGAGTTGCACCGAAGCGCGCACACGCATGCGCATGTCTGGATTGCAAAGCTTCCAAGAATCTGCGCGAACGCCAGTTGGCGCTGCACCCTCCGCCAGTTACCCTGGCCTGACCTCCCCACCGGATTCGCACCCTGCCCCAGCTGTCGCCGCTTTCCCCAGGGTCCCAACGTAGCTGGCGAGTTCAACGGGTGTTCGTCAACGCGTGGCCATTGCGTCGGGCAGTCGTTATCACCATCTAGACGCCGCCAGCCATGTCTAGACTTCTGGGTCGGTGCGAGAAGGAGCGATTCATCGAGACATCTGTTCGGAAATAACGTCTACACAAACACAACTATGTCTAGACTCCAAACGAATCGGTATGTCTAGAGACGCAACATTGTAGTTCGACTTCCACATGCATATCCCAACGCAATACAACCCACGCATAATACTGGCGACCCGCAGACCGCGGATCCACGATGGCTACCGGGACATATATGCGATGGAAGATGTTTCCGGTGCCCTTGAACAACGCAGGACTCGTTTAACTTCACTGTCATTTCGCTCAGAGGAGGAAAAGGTACCCATACCTCTACCCGTTCGCCCGTTCTCGTGTCTTTCGGCCTCCTTGGAAGCACTCGTCGCCACCGTGAAGAGGTCCGCGGAATAGCGGCATCGGTACCTTTTGGTCTCCCCATTCGCGGTGCAATCCAGCTGCCTCCCACTCCCGCCCCCCCGCGACAGAAACCCAAACCCCCGACGTCATGACTATTTCATTACGTCGACTCCCAGAGGTCTCCACCTATTCCCGGGGTCGTTTCTTGACGGTCCCGAAGCCCGGCAAGGGCCCCCAGAGGTCGAAAACGGAGAAAAACCTCCCGTCATGATTTTGTCATTGCTCGAGGGGGTCTGGGAACAAGGATCCACTCCCGCCCCGTCCAATCCCGCCGCGTTTCCGGCCTCCCAGGCTGTTCTTCTTCGTCCAGCACCGGTGTTGCCGGGCTCGCAGGTGAGCACGCCCGGAAGGGAGCGCGCCTCTGGATGCCCTGGAAGGGGAGAGCTCCAGGACCAGGGCAGTCTCGGGGCAATCTGCGGGATCTGTGCAGCTGTTTTGCACGCTGTGGGACTCGAATAAGTACCCACAGGAATCATAAAAAAACACTGCAGCAACTTTTGCCTCTTCGGGGGCCTCCTTGGCGCGTCTTGGGGGCCTGTGGGGCCGAATATCAGGGAGGGCATCCGTCGTCGATAAGGGGTCCGTCCGCATCGCCCCCCCTCCGCCCCCACCGGGTGTATCCCAGAGCTTCTCTTCTGTACCGAGCCGCCATGTTGCGGGGAGAAACTCGTTGACTGGGAGAAATCACCTCAGACTGCAAGCATCCAGCTGCATCGGATCGTCGGCACACCAGAACCGAATCAGACCGGGCCAGCCAGAACCGAAATCTGACCGGACCGATCGGATCGAGATGGACTCTGCAAAAGTCGATTGGCGAAAAATAGTCGCCCGGCCCTGAAGGCTGGCACTCGCCCCGAAATGGATGCGGAAACCGCCGCCCGCCCAACAGCGACTGCTGTGCAAGACAGACAGGCAGCGACCGCAGCTTGGCAGGCCACCTGCTGCCTCGAGCGAGCAACGTCCGCGGCGACCCCGGCAACGAGCCCCGCTCCAACGGACACTGACAGGGACCCCAGACCCCCGACGTCATGACTTTTTCATGACCTCGACCCCCAAAGGTCTCGACCTCTTCCCCGGGACCGGCTTCTCATCCCGAGCCGTTCTTTTACGGCCCCGAGGCCCGGCGAGAGAACCCCGAGGCCGAAAGAGGCGAAGCACCTCCCGTCGTGTATCTCCCCTTGCCCGAGGGGGTCTGGGACTGCCGTCGGTCGTCGCCCCCTCTGAAGGGGCCCTGGGACACGCAAAGAAATACACACAAATAGCAGGATGCCCCATAGTTTCCCACAAGATGTTCTGGTCTCTGGTCTTTCCCCCCACTTCCCATGTTTTGCCATACTTTTTCCTGGGAGTCGACGATGAATTGCGTGTGTGTGTTTTTTTTCCTCCCTGACCCTCCGCCGCGGCACCCGCAGCGACCTGCACCGACGAGGGGGCGCCGTCGGGAGGGGGGCGGCGGCTCCCCAGGGGGCGGAGGCGTCGAGCGGGCAGCGGCGGGGCACATCGCCCGAGGCATCTCGGCGGCAGGCCCCCGACGACGGACCCCAGGGTCAAGTCGGGCCTCCCTGACTCCGGATCCGCCCTACTTTGGGGAAATTCGTAAGCAGGGCTTGGAATTTCCGCCCTACTTTTCAAGCCACGCTGATGCCAATTTCCGCCCTACTTTTCTGTTGTTGTTTCCGCCCTACTTCTGTGGATTTTCGCCCCGTTTTATGTTGGGTGCAGAAATGTCCGCCCTACTTTTTCGGCTCCTTATAGGTGGATTTCCGACGCAATTTTAAGTTGGAAAAAAGCCAAAGTAGGGCGGATCTGGAGTCAGGGCTGTCCCTCTACAGGGGGGATATCCAAAAATAGTAACAAACATAGTCTGGGGACTATGTTTTGGAATCTTTGTTGGCCATGTTGGAGCATGTTTGGGGTATGTTTCATTTTTCGTCGAAAACCCCTCTGCAGGGGGACACGCCCGACTTAACCCCAGGGCCGCGCCGACGGCGCGCTCGGTTGACGTCAGGTCGGGCATGTCCCCCTACAGGCGAATATTGGACGAGGAAAAAACATGGTCGAGAAATGCTCGAAACGACTCAAAACCAGTAGCAAAATCGTCCCACGACTATGTTTGACTATGTTTGAACATTCCTCCTGTAGAGGGACAGTCCCAACTTAAGGCTAACGGTGCGGCTTGTTTTTGTGACACCGAGCTCACGCAAAACAAAGTGCAGGAGACCTTGGAACACCGTTCCCTGCATCGCAGAAGTGCGAGTGTATCGAACGAGAACGACACAGCGAGTTGTGGGAAAACGCGAACCACGCGTTCCGACAATTGGTTTAGCCACGAACCACGCCTTCCTACAATTGGATGTCCTACTTCGCAATTCGCCAACACACCGTCAGCGCGTCTACGGAAACCTGCACGCTCCTGGGCGGGGTGGGCAATCGGGCCCTCATCGGCGATGAACGGGCGAGCGGGGTTAGGTCGGGCATGTCCTCCTGCGTCCTACAGTCAGATTTTGAAGGAGCGGAAACATATGAAAAAAAAGCATCGTCCCCAGACCGTGCTCTGACTCTCTTTGTTGTTCATACTCCTCCTGTAGAGGGACATGCCCGACTTGTAAAGACTGGGGATGGAGATGCACCCCCCCCTGAGCCGCCCACCCCCCGCATTGCCCTCAACATCCCCCCCCCCCCCCCGCGGCACCGACCAGTGCTCCACGTCGCCTGACTCTCGGGTCCCACGCTTCGGGTCTCCGCGCGGCCGCTCGGGACGCCCCAGGGCCTCCCTGGAGAACGCCCTCGACGCGGCGCGGCCGCTGGAAGGCATCCCGAGGCTTTAACACCGCCGAGAAGAGACGGGAGCGTTCGAAGACCTCGGATTCCCCGGGCCCCCCGCCTCATCCCCTCCTGGCACAGCTGGACGCCGACGGGGCCGCCCGGAGTCCGGCTCGCCCCTCTCCGCGGGCCTTTTCCCGTGTGCAGGTTGGTGTGGGTTGGTGTGGGTGTGGGTGTGGGTGTGGGTGTGGGTGTGGGTGTGGGTGTGTGTGGTGTGTGTGTGTGTGGATGGTGTGTGTGTGTTGTGTGGTGTGGTGTCTAGATGTCGGAGGTGAGGGGGTGAGCTCGAAGTGGAACGGAGAGCCCCCCTACCGGGAAATCGGTTTCGGTTTCGTGTTCGTGCGTGCCGTGCGTGCGGGCGAGGCGAAGCTGCGTGGGCGGGCGAGAAATAAGCCTCCTGTAGCTGAGGCGCGGCCGGAGCAAAAGAACCTTGACCGGGCGGCCGGTGCCCCGCGGTGTCCCGCCGGTGTCCCGCTCGGGGGCCGGTGGCGAGCGGTGTCCCGCCGGTGTCGCGTCGGTGTCCCGTCGGTGTCCCGATGATGATGATGATGATGATGATGATGATGATGATGATGATGATGATGATGATGATGACGATGACGATGATGATGGTGATGGTGATGGTGATGGTGATGGTGGTGATAATGATGGTGCCCCGATGATGATGATGATGATGATGATGATGATGATGATGATGATGCTGACGATGTTGATGACGATGATGATGATGGTGATGGTGGTGACGATGATGGTGCCCCGATGATGATGATGATGATGATGATGATGATGATGATGATGATGATGATGATGTTGATGGTGATGTTGCTGCTGATGATGATGGTGCCCCGATGATGATGACGATGATGGAGTTCCGATGATGATGATGATGATGATGATGATGATGATGATGATGATGATGATGATGGTGGTGATGGTGATGGTGTTGGTGATGATGATGTTGATGATGATGGTGATGAGGTGATGATGCTGATGAGGTGATCATGATGATGATGGTTTCCCGATGATGCTGATGATGATGTTGATGACGTTGATGACGATGATGTTGATGATGATGATGATGATGACGTTGATTGTAATATCGATTGTGATATCGATAGTGGGATCGATAGTTAGACCGAATGTGAGATTGGTTGTGAGATCGATAGTGAGATCGATAGTGAGATCGATTGTGAGATCGATAGTCAGATCGATTGTGAGAGCGATCGAATGAAATAGATCGAGTGATATCGATGGTGAGATCGATCGAGTGGGATCGATCGAGCGACACCGATAGTGAGATCGATTTTGAGATCGATAGTGAGACCGATCGAGTGAGACGTTGGTTCCTCCCCCCCGAACCTCCTTATCACCCGAAGGGTGGTCGTATAGGTATATACACACGTACAGATACAGTACAAACATGCAAATGTAGAAACATGTATACTCAATATGCTGCTCCCTTCGGTTCACGCGGGACGTGTCCCCAACCGATGGTGGGGCTGAGACCACACGGCCCAGCAGGGAGGGGGGACCCCGCCATCGCTCGGACCCATCTCCCGTGCCTGGCTCGACGTTGCGCGCTTCCTTCTCCCCGCAACGCCTGCGGCCGGGCGCCCCCTCTCGCCGCTTCGCGGCGCGGCGCGGGGCCCGCGGCTGGGGGGGGGGCCCCCCCCCCCCCCCGCGCGCCCTCGCGCCCTGCGCGCCCCGCGAGCGCGGGCGCCGCCCCTCAGGGGAACTGGAAGGCCGCCTCGGCGCCGAGGCCCGGGCCCCGCGGGGCAGGGGGCCAGGATCAGATCGGGAGCGTCCTCCTACATGGAGAGCTTGGGCGAACCATGAAAGATAGGGAACGAGTGATCAAAGATGCTTCAACAATACCCCAAACTCGCCCCAAAACTATTTCTGTTTTACTATGTTTCAATATTTCTCCTGTGGAGGGACACCCCGACTTAAGGCCAGGATCAGGAAATAAGACGAATGCAGAATCGAGACAGAATCGGAGCGACATGAATCGAATCTCTGAGAATCGGCGGGCTTGGAGGATGTCTCGGGCGACGCGGGCTTCTCAAAGCGTTCCGGCACGCTCTGGAACGGATTTCGCTCGATTCTAAACCCGTCCGATACGCAGCCACTGGCCCAGTCCGATTTTTTTTGAGAAGGGGGAGGAAGAGGCGAAAGGGAGACCGCGCCAACGAGTGACCACCACGAGGAGCTGGCAGGCCATACTGCCACAGGACCGTGATCGCCCTGACTCCCATTCGCAAGCATGCCACTAACACCGAAAACAAAAAAGTGGAGTCGGCAGGTAAACCTGCCGCAGGACCGTCATCGTCCTTTCCTCCTGCAAGCGGCGTAAACGCTGGGCCAAGCGGACGGGGGAGAGAAAGGACAAAAGGAGAGAGTGCAGAGAGCGGATGGGTGTATGGGCCTGATTTGGACCTGATTTGGACCGGATTTGGGCCTGATTTGGACCGGATTTGGTGCCACCGGATGTGGACCGGATTGGGGCCGCATTCGCCGCCTCACAAGGGAGACGAGGAGAGCGAGGAGGTGAAGGGCGAGTAGGATCAGGAGGCAGGGCCAAATGCTGTCCAAATGTAGGAAAAGCTGATTTCAATGTCGCCGCCCCAGGCTCCCATGAACAGACATCGAAGGAAACAACTCCTGGTAGGTCTTCGCAAGATCGAGTCAGAACTATAAGGCCCGATTCGTGGTCATTGAAACGGATCGGGTCCGATTGAGCCCAAGATTGAGCTGGACTGAGCAGGATTGCACATAATCGAGCGGGATGTTGCCAAACTGGGCTTGATATGTTTTTGTTTGTTGCCATTACGGCTCGCTTCCCCCATCTCGCGTTGCCAATCTCGCTTCGCTGGGGTCGCGCCGGGCGGACAGACCCGGCGAACGCGACTTTAAAATGAGCGCGCACGGGATTCAGAAGAGGCCAATTGAGCTAGCACGGGCTACAGATCGCGTGACTATCACAACAATGCCCCTCTGTGCACTTATTCCCTGATCCATATGGGCACTGATATCCTGGAGCAACCTTATCACCCACACAGCAAGATTGGGTTACCTCATAACCATCCTGAATGCAGCAGTGAGTGCTTGCTTGAGGGCACTCCATCTCACACTTCGAGGAACGGAGATGCACGTCGCCAGGATGTTTGTGCTGGCGATGCATGGTAGAGTTGAGGTTCTGGACATCGATCGGTATATCCTCCACTCTCGCCTCCTCATATTGTTTGTGGTCAGGCGTCTCGTCCTTCCAAATGTTCGCGATTTGCGGTTCGCTGGGGCCCGACGCCCGTGACTGGAGTAGCCCCACGCCATCGGCCTCGTTCGTGGCGTCGCAGTTGTGCGAATCGTCCTCCATCAGGCAGCGTTCCTCCGGGGTCTTGACTAAGTCATCGGCGGCAACGCAGCCGCGGCCGACGAGCAGGATGGCGAACGCTCCCGCAAGCACCCGACGTTCATTGCGGCAACGGCGGAGTAACATGGGCTTGGCAGCAATAGGCGCAAACCAAATGTTCCCCATTCCTGAAGAGCTGCCACAATGTCTTGAGCCAAAATGGCTACGGACCAAGCTGGGCCTGATTTTGGCCACGGGCATGCCAGTGCCGACGCCGAATTGAAACTCCCAGAAGATGCATCCTGACCAAAAGAGGCAACGGCACGCGAGCCCTTCCTACCGGTCGGAGGAAGCGGGTGGAAGCACCAGGTAGGAAGGCGCCGGAGGCGCGTCGGATCGCCGCCCTCGCCCCCGAAGACGAGAGAGGCGGGACAAGCGCTCGACGCGTGAGGCAGGAAGGCGCCCCCAAAGCAGGTTGGAATCTGGGGATGCACCAGTCTCCTGCGTGTGAGCGTTTTCCGACTCGGCGCTTCGACGCTCGGCGGAAGGGGGGGGAGGGGGTCTGGCTCCAGGCCTCTGCGTCCCATGGGTTTGGACGCCCGAAATGGGTACCGAATAAATGGAAACAATGCCAAGCAGCAAATGTTGTCCCAAACAAACAGCGGCCGCTATTGGGCAGGCGGCCTCCTGTCTCGAATGGGCACAGGACGCGGCGGCGTGGACAGCGAGCCCTGCTCAAAACGAACAAGATCCGCTGTTGGGCACTGTACCCATTCTTTCAGTACCCACTTCGCGCGTGCAGAATGGGGGAGGCGCCACCTGCCCGAAGCAGGCGCCAGGAACAGCCAAGACCTGCTCCATAAGGGGGGGGGGGGGGAAGGAAGGGGGCGAGGGCCCGCGCCCCTCGGCAAAACCACGAGGAAAAAAAGGGCCCTCCCTCCTCCCTCCTCCCTCCTCCCTCCTCCCTCCTCCCTCCTCCCCCTCCCCCTCCTCCTCCTCCTCCTCCCTCCTCCCCCTCCTCCTCCTCCTCCTCCTCCTCCTCCTCCTCCTCCTCCTCCTCCTCCTCCTCCTCCTGCTGCGGAAAAGGGGAGAAACCCGAAAAGCATTCAGAACCGATAGAACATTTATGCTTTTTGCCTTCTCGGGCCTTCTCAGGAGCCCTCTTGAGGGCCTGTGCAGCCGTCCTGAGGCTCTCCTGGACCGTCTGGAGGCCATCTGAAGCACTCTTGGGGCCGCCTTGTGATCCTCGGGGCCGTTTTGGGGCCCTCTTGGGCCGTCTTGGGGCCCTCTTGGGCCGTCTTGGGGCCCTCTGGCCGCTTCACCCGAACAAAAATACAGGAATCAGGCCATGGGGGCCGCCCTGAAGCAGATTCATTCAGAAAAAGGGTTCCGCGGGGGGGGGGTCAGATACGACGCCCCCCCCGGGAGTCCAGGAGCCGAAAGAAGTCCCAAGACGGGCCAAGAGTGCCCCAAGAGGCCCCAAAGACAGTCCAAGAGAACCCCGAATCGCCGAACGATCTGTCCAAGACGCCTTGACGGCCTCCAGACGGGCCAAGAGGCCTGCAAAGTGCTCCATTAGGCCTCCAGGAGCTTTCCCACGAGCACCCCAAGAGGCAAAATTCATGGATTTCCCGTACGCTTTTGAACGAATTTGGAATTCTTGCCTCTTCCGCTTCCCGACGCGCCAAGACGGCGCAAGAAGCCCCCAAGATCGCCCCGAGACGGCACACGAGGCCCCCAAGAGGGACCCGCTGGCAGGCTCTGACAGGGCTGAACCTAAACGGTGTTCTTCGCTCTCGTTCCGTCTTCGTCCTCCCCCTCGCCTCTGCCTCGCACCCGCCCTTCCCGTATAGGACGGGGCCGCAGCGAAGACACGGCCCCGGGCTCCGAGGCCGCTCCAGGAAGGGACGGAAGGATCCTCGCCCGAGTCGGGCCGTCGGGCGGCCGGGGGCCGTCGGGCCGTCGGGCGGCCCGCCGGCCCCCGGCCGATCCCCGACGGCCGCCCCGCGGGGCCGCCGGAAGGCCGGCCGGAGGAGCCCGGCGCGCACCTCCGTGCCGACGGGTGCCCGCGCGGGCAGGCCGTCCACGGAGCACGTGTGCCGGTGGAGGTCCTCGAGCGGGGGCGCGCGCGGGGGGGGGGGAGGGGGAGGAGGGGGAGGAGGAGGGGGGAGGAGGAGGAGGAGGAGGAGGAGGAGGAGGAGGAGGAGAGGGAGGAGGAGGAGGAGGAGGAGGAGGGAGGAGAGGGGAGGAGGAGGAGGAGGGAGGGAGGAGCAGGAACGGCCCAACGAGGTGGTCAGAGAGCACGGAGGCGAAGTGGCAGACGGAGGAGGTCAGGGCCGCGATGCCAGAAGGGGGGGGGGGGGGCGATCCATGGGGGGAAGAGGAAGGCGCCCTGGCCGGAACCTGGAAGCTCCCTGCGGGGCCCGAGGGGGCCCCTCTGGGAGCGCTGCCAGGGCCACCAGCCCACTTCCCAGACCCCCGACGTCATGATCTTTTCATGACGTCGACCCCCAGAGGTCTCGACCTCTTGCTCGGGACCAGTCTTCATCCTGAGCCCTTCTTTGACGGTCCAGAGGCCCGGCAAAGGCCCCCAAGAGGCCGAAAATTAGGAAAAAAACCGTCGCGATTTTTCTTCATGACTCGAGAGCGTCTGGGTTGTCGCCCCCCCGCCTCCACGCCCCCCAACGAGGGGGCACGGGAGGCGAGCGCGCCTTGGGCGAGCGCTCGCGGGCAGGGCCAAGCCCGGACAGGGCGCGACCGCCCCCAGAGCATGCAGCACGCGTGCATGGGTGCCCCATGGGCGCCCCCGCAACATCTGCGGCAGGCTCGCGTCACCCGGGGCGTTGGTTCCTGACACCGCGGGGATCGTTCAACCCTGCACGATCGGCCGCTTGCGCGCCGCCCGATCGTTCAACAGGGGCCGCCGTCGGCGTTCAACATTGAACCGGGTGTTGCTAGAGGTACCCCTGGCCCGAGGCCCCCCCAGGATTCTCAGGGTGGCCCAGACGGCCTCCAGGGCACGCCTCACGAGACCCAGAGGGCCCAAGGGGCTCCAAAATGGAGCGAAAAGCTGGAGGCACCTTGGGCCAGGGGCACTTCTAGCGACGCCCGATTGAACGCCGGCGGTGGGGCCGCCGCCGGTCGACACGACGCGAGCCCACCGTAGGGGGACGAGACATGAAACAATGAAGGAACCGAACTTTATACACCGATGCTTTCTCCGATCCCGCACTGAGATTCGCACCGGAAGCGGATTATGGTGTATACGGCATCTTGGTGCATACGTGTTTTGCTATTTCCACGGGAGAACGGGGAAACAAGCATGCACCGCGCCGCCCCGACGTCGCCCCCGCCCTTCAAGAAAGGCCCGGGATCGGGAAGCCGCCCGCCGCTGGCAACGCCCGTGCTCCAAGCTCCGAACAGTGTCTCTCGCCCGCGGCGAGCCCGAGAAGCTGCCCCAGGGGGCGGCGACGCGGGGCGACCAACTGACACGCCGGATGGGCTGGCGCGCAAAAGGAGGGGGGGGGCAAGGGGAAGGGGCGGCCGCGGAGGACCACCCCACTGGGGGACTTTGGACGAAGAACAAAAAAACAAAAACAAAAAATGCTCAACCGATGCCCCAGGATACTCATTTTTAATTAGCGTTATTGTCATTATTATTACTATTAATAATATTCGTAGTATTATTAGTATTAATATTATTAATATTAATAATATCATTATTACTACTATTATTAGTTTTATTATCATGATTCTTCTGATTCTTATCACTACTACATCCCCGTTACGAAAGTTAATTCATCTTGGCTAAAGTTGACATGTGTGGGCGCTGTGGTGAGAAGTGGTATGGGAGTGATTCTTCCTTGTGGTTTCACACGGGGAGAGATTCAGAGTTGCCTGGAAGTGACCGGGAGTGCCTGGAATTTACGGGGGAGAGATTTTATCCTGAATTGGTTATATACCATTAATGTTACCAGGGAGAACCCCGGAAATCTCTCCCGCCAAGCCGAACCGAAGACTGCCGCGCTAGGAGTCTACGGGGGGAAGGGGGGGCCACTCGGAGACGCCCTAGTCGTCAGTGGTCAAGATGAATAACTTTCGTAACGGGTAAGTATTAGTATACTTATTATACGTATTATACGTATCATTGTTATTGGTATTATTATTATTGGAGGCCGAGTGACATCGAATCTGAAAATATTCGTTGTCGGGCGGGGGGTCGCCCACCCTCTTTCGTCTCTGGGAATGCATTGCGATTGCATGATTGCCTCTCTCCCTCTCTTTGAGGCGAAGAAGAAAGAGGGGAGGGGAGAAAGGGGGTGGAGGGGGGGGGGGGGGGGGGGGCGAGGGAAAGGAGGGGGGAAAGAGAAAAATGGAGGAGGAAGAGGAGAAGGAGAAGAAACGGAAAAGGGAAAGGATGGAGAAGGGAAAGGACCTCAGGAGCCCCAGGGAACCTCAGGTAGGGGGTAGGAGCCACTCTGCGCGCGGGCGCCCCTCGACGGAGCGCTGCGGCGCCGCGCGGGGCGCAGACCTGCTCGGAGCGCTCCTGGAGCAGAACCGCGCGCCCTCCTCTCCTCGCCCTCCTCTCTCTCTCTCTCTCGCTCTCTCTCTTCTCTCTCTCTCTCGCTCTCTCTCTCTCTCTTTTCTCTCTCTCTCTCTCTCTCTCTCTTCTCTCTCTCTCTCTCTCTCTTTTCTCTCTTTGTTTTCTCTGTTTTTCTCTTTTTTTCTTGTTTTTTTTTCTCTCTCTCTCTCTCTTTTCTCTCTTCTCTCTCTCTCTCTCTCTCTCTCTCTCTCTCTCTCTCTCTCTCTCTCTCTCTCTCTCTTCTTTCTCTCTTTCTCTTCTTCTCTCTCTCTCTCTCTTCTCTCTCTCTCTCTCTCTCTCTCTCTCTCTCTCTCTCTCTCTCTCTCTCTCTCTCTCTCTCTCTCTCTCTCTCTCTCTCTCTCTCTCTCTCTCTCTCTCTCTCTCTCTCTCTCTCTCTCTCTCTCTCTCTCTCTCTCTCTCTCTCTCTCCTCTCGGAACTCTCTCTCTCTCTCTCTCTCTCTCTCTCTCTCTCTCCTCCGCGGGAGAAGACCGCTGGCTGCCGCTGGGAGAGACACCACCCTGCAGAGAGACACCACCGCTGGGATAGAGACCGCTGCTGCAACAGCAGCTTCCGCCGCTGGGAGAGAGACCGTCGCCGCGACAGGAGCTGGCGACAATTGCGCTTCAATTCATATTATACATACTGTATGATAAGCATCATCCGCTCTCGCAGTTTAGCTTCCGCCGCTGGACGAGAGATCGCCGCTAGGACAGACGCCGCTGATGCGACAGGGGCTTTCACCGCTGGGAGAGAAACCGCCGCTGCGACAGGAGCTGAAGATAACTGCGCTTCAATTCGTCTTGTACATGCTTTATACTATGTATCGGTATCATATTCTTCATTTCCGGTCTCATCATTCTCATTATTCTCCTCTCCTCCGTCTATCATTTTCGTGATTCTCCTCTTTTCCCTCCTCGCCTCGCCACGAGTGGTTCAAAGCCACAAGTAGAGAAAACTAGCCAACGGAGCCCTTAGGCCACTTGGGGCCGTCGTCTTAGAGCGGCCTTGGGGCCTTTTGGAGCATCGCGGGAGCAATCTTGAGGCATCTTGGGATATCTCGAGCCATCTTGGAGGTCATCTTGGGCCCCCCCAGGCGCCCTCGGAGTCATCTTAAGCAGCGCCCCCCCCCCCCCCCGAAGGCCAACGCGTGGCCAAAACCTCAATAAAATAAATGATTTTGGCATTCTCGCCGAGGCCTCTTGGAGCGTCTTGGGCGCCGCTGGGGGGCCTCTTGGGGCCGCTTGGGGGTCTGGTGGGGGCCTTTTGAGGGCATGTCCTGGGGGCCTCCTGGCGGCCTCTTGGGGCCTCCTGGCCACCTCTTGACGCCTTCCTCGGGCGCCCTGGGGGGCCTCGGGGGCGCTCTTGGGGCCATCTCGGAGGACATCGATCAAAGAAGGCGGGGTCGTAAATTCGGGCCGCCCCCCAAATGCCAAAATTGAGCCAAAACCTTTGTGGGGCCAATGATTTCGGTTCCCCCGCCGATGCCGTGTTGGGCGCTCGGGCGACCCGCGGAACGCCCCCCCCAGGCCCAGGGGGGGGGGGGGCAGGGCGGGAGGGGCGCATCCCTCCCCGGAAGGGGGGGGGGGGGGGGGGCGCAAGAGGAAACGCCCTAAACCACCTACGCCCTAAAGGGCTGGTGGATTGCATCTCGAGCTCAGTCCAGCTGCTGCAACGAAGAGGGGGGGCTGCAAGCCGGCGGGCTGGGGGATTTGCAAGTCAGCGCGGGCGGGGGGCGAGCTCAAAATGAAGGGGAAATCGCTCGAGCGCTACCCTCTCCCCCCTCTCTCTCCGTCGCCAGTGCGGCTTGGCTGCGAGAGTTTTGCCGGCTGGTCGCGGCTTGCCCTTTGCCGGCGATCACGCCCGCACCAAGCAGCAGCAATGCCCATTTTAGCACCGGCGCAACGTCGAGCAAGGCTGCGTTCGAGAGATTGCTTCTCGCAGATCTGGAGGCGCAACCGCTGCCAGGAGATGGCGCCGCGGTGGGGGGGCACCAGCTTTACGCGAAGACGACGAAACATGTTGATAGGCTGACCGACATGGGCGCGAAAGGGCGATTTTTTTGGTCACTGGCACGTCCAATCCTGAGTTCAAGCAGTGCCCTTCTTTGCTACGAGACAACGAGAAGTTTGGCGCGCTACTCTGGGGATCCCCGCACTGGGGGGCTGCGGCAAACGACAAGGAGACGGCGACGTTCAAATCGAGCTCCGTTTTCAAGACGACTGCATTCGAATCAATGAGTTGGCAATCAGGAAGCGCGCTCACCATGCTCACCTTTCCAAAGTTCTACAGGATCGAATTTTGGAACCCATGCTATCCGGATCCTAAGGGAAGGCCAGACACGAGGGACCCCAGGATGCTGATTTGCCTGCCAGCTCACTTAAGGGAATATCGCCCTCTTGCTAGCGGAACCAAATTCCAAGAGTTGTCTGGCCCAGATGACGCAATGGTTGCATGCCTTGTGCCGGTGAGATTTCAGAGGGCGTTGGTGTTCCAGGGGCACAAGCTCGACGTGGGGCGTACACTGCTGA